TCTCCCAGATCAGAGTCCGCACACATAACCATGACACCAAGAGACTGGATTTATACCCCGCCCTTCACTACCCAAAGGTGTCTCAGAGCGGCTTACAAACTCCCTTCCTTCTCCTCCCCACAACAGACGCCCTGTGAGGTAGGTGGGGCTGAGAGAGCTCTGACAGAAACGGCTCTTTTTCAAGGACAGCTCTGACAGAACTATGGCTTGCCCAAGGTCATCCAGCAGGTGCAAGTGGAGGAGTGGGGAATCAAACCCGGTTCTCCCAGATTAGGTTTACAATCTCCTTTCCCTTCACCTTCCCACAACAGACACCCTGGGCGGTCGGTGGGGCTGAGAGAGCTCTTTCCAGGACTGCCATTGAAAGAACAGCTCTGGCAGAACTACGGCTTGCCCAAGGTCATCCAGCAGCTGCATGTGGAGGAGGAGTGGGGGAATCAAACCCCAGATTAGAGTCCGCGCACTTCACCACGACACCAAAGGCCCATCTGTGCCTCTGCTGGTGTTTGAGGGCTCTGAACTGCCAGCACCGGAAACCAGATGAGCTGGCGTCCAACTGGGAGCTCTCAGAGACCAGGCGGTGGCCTTTGGGTCAAAACGTTTGCCCGCCTCTGTGCCAGAGGAGACCAGTCCTCGGGTGGCTCTTGCAGAGGGGCACAGATCTCTTCCGGAAACCTCGGGACCGGATCCGCTGCTCCACGGGAAGACGGCAAAAAAGCAAGGGACTCCTTAATGCAAACAAGCCCTTTTATTGGATCAAGATGTGGTAAACTAAAGACATGAAATGTGAATGTTTTGGGGTGGGGGGTTCTCTCCCCCCCGCCCTGTGAAATTTTAAGCATAAGAAGGAAGAATTTCAAATGACAATTAAATTAAACATTAAAAAAATACAACACAAAACGTACACGCCCGTACACATAAAATACAAACACGGAAGAACGATTTAGTAGGGGGGTTAAACTCACACCAAACTAAGAAGAGAACGGGGGTAGAGGGGTGTGATAGAGAGGCGGCCAATCAAGTCCCCCCCATCTGCTCCACCCCCCTGGCCCCCCACATTATGGCAATCTTGCAGGAGGGGGAAAAGGGATGGGTGGGGGACATCCTTCATTTCAGTTCCAGAGACTAGCTCCTTCTTACGCTGCATAAGGCCACACGGTCTCCTGCAAAACTTCTTCCAAACTCAACAGGCACAGGGACAGAGGACCCCCCCCCCCCAACACCCATCAAGTTATAAACTAAGGCACTCGGTGACAATATGTTTGTGCGGGGGCCAAGCGGAGCCTGCCAGCTAGGCCCGCTGCCCCAATCCTCCTCCGCTTAGGGACAGGACGTGGCCCCCGCGACGTTCCCGCGGGTACCTTGTTTGCATGGATTAAGAGGGCAGGGTTTGCAAAGAGAACCGAACCTCGGTGACTTGCCTCCCACCAAGAATAAAAATGGCATGCTCAACAGAGGCTTACAGTTCCTTATAAACGGTGCGGGGCCGGATGGATACCCGGGAGCGCCGAGAAAGGGCCGCCAAGGGTACCCTACCCCCCTTCCCAATGCATGCTGGGACGGCCAACTGGGATGGAAAGAGGGCGGAGCCTGAGACGAATTCTCGCACCTCTGACTTCCTCCAACTTGAAAAACCTGGGAGGTGCCGGCTCACCTTTGCCTGGGACCTGGCTTGTAGCCACACACCCTCTGACCCTACTGGCTGCCCCACAGTCATCTGTGATTGGCTGCTCTGTGGTACACAGTGACGTTCGGGAGGACGGACTTCCTGTGAGATATTCCAATGCTGGAACGTCAGAGGGGGGAGGACCTCAAAAGGGGGCTGTGCTGGGTCTCAGCAGACTCCCCCAACACTCCCCTGTCCCGACATCTAAAGTCAAACCAACCGACTTCTTTTGCGGCTGGAAGACCTTCCCGGGATGCTCAGCCATGCTGGCACCTTTGGGGCTACCTGAGCCTATTTTGGAGATTGTCGTCAAACGGGTGTCGGGGTGGGTGGTTGTATTTAAGGCAGACGCTTTAAAGCAGAAGACACGGAAGCAAAAGGTTACTGCCGCTCGGCGGGCCCCGATGGCCGCAGCGAGGACAGAAACCGAGCAAGGCGGGAACGGGTCGCGTTTCCGTGTCGCGGCCGGCCACACGGGCAAAGCTCTCGGAAGAGGGAAGGCACTCCGGATGCGACGGGGAGGTTCAATCCCCCACAGCTCCTCTTCCCAGAGGCCGACGGGTGTCGGAATGTCCGGGGCTCCTTAGCGGGCGGTAAAGGAGAGGTGCTGAGAAAGGGAGGGTCCGTGGGCTCAAAACTGGCCCCCTCCTAAACACCCACCTTTCACTTGACGGAGGGGCTCCGCAGGCCCCACATAGCTCTATCCAACGATGCCCCCTTGGGGCCTGCTGCCCCATAAGTCCACGGGCAGGGCAGCAGGCCTCGATTCCCCAGTCGTAGAGGGAGCTGTCGGCCTGGAAGGGGAGACCCGGCCACGGATAAATCAGGGCGTGGTGGGTGGGCACTCGTCTTGGCAACGCCGACGAGCAGGAGTGGAGAGTGGGGTCCTTCGGAACGGGGAAGGGGGGGCGGCGTAGAATCCTTCTGTTGTCGCAATAAATAAGAATAACTTAACCGGCAGCGGAGAGGGGGGGCGCAGGACGCCGCTCTGCCCCACTCAGCCTGGGCCACTCCGGGGTGCCCCCCCCGCCTGGACCACTTGTGTTTGCCGGGCCCCAACTCTGCCAGGAAACCAGGGGGGGTGTCTGCGGGGTGGCGGTGGTGGAGGGCAGTCACGTAGCCACACTGCGGCGACGTCCCTGCATAGGGGACGGTCTCCTCGTGGGTGCCCAGATTTCGAGGCCAGCCTTTGTCACGGCCGCCTGCAGGAGGGTCTGGTCGCCGTTCCTCCCCACCGGGGGGAGACGCGCTCCTGGACGAACCACGGGGGCGGCAGCCGTCCATACGGCGCGCTTGGCAGGGTGGGCGAGCGGGCGGGAAGGGACTCTAAAAGCCACAAGGAAGGAGGGGCATCCCCGGGAGCGGCGCGGAGGCCCACGGGGGACGGCCCGGGGTGGGCTCGGCTACTTCCGGAGCCTCAGGTGGTCCAGGAGGAGGCGTTTGTGGAGGGGGTCCATCACGCCGGCTTCTTCCAGGTCCTCTTCGGTGATGTCACTGCAAAGAAAACCAAGCAGTCAATCAATCAATCAATGATCCAATGCCTGGATAGGGTGAGGTTCAGTCTACATAACTGAAGTAGGAAGCTGCACCAATGGACGAGAAGGAAAAAGAGGTGTAGCAGGGAAATATATTGTATTTTTAATTGTAGATCCCATCCATGTAAGAACCTCAGAAGAGCCCTGCTGGGTCAGACCAGGGAGGGTTCATCTAGTCCAGCATCCTGGTGTGACCTTGAGTCAGTCGTAAGTTCTCTCAAGGACAGTTCTCGGGAGAGCTCTCTCAGCCCCACCTACCTCACAGGGTGTCTGTTGTGGGGAGGGGAAGGGAAAGGAGATTGTAAGCCACTCTGAGACTCCTTCAGGTACTGAAGGCTGGGGTAGAAATCCAACTCTTCTTCACACAGTGGCCAACCAGTTCCTCTGGAGGGCCAAATACAGGGCAGAGAGTCCAAGACCTTCCCTTGATAAGAACCTCAGAAGACCCCTCCTGGATCAGACCAGTGAGGGTCTATCTAGTGCAACATCCTGTCTCACACACTGGCCAACCAGTTCTTCTGGAGGGCCAACAACAGGGCAGGGAGGCCGAGGCCTTCCCCTGATAAGAACCTCAGAAGAGCCCTGCTGGGTCAGACCAGTGAGGGTCCATCTAGTGCAACATCCTGTCTCACACAGTGGCCAACCAGTTTTTCTGGAGGGCCAACAACAGGGCAGGGAGGCCGAGGCCTTCCCCTGATAAGAACCTCAGAAGAGCCCTGCTGGATTCAGACCAGTGAGAGTCCATCTAGTCCAGCATCCTGCCACACACAGGGGCCAACCAGTTCTTCTGGAGGGCCAACAACAGGGCATGGAGGCCGAGGCCTTTCCTTGATAACAACCTCAGAAGAGCCCTGCTGGATCAGACCAGTGAGGGTCCATCTAGTCCAGCATCCTGGTGTGACCTTGAGTCAGTCGTAAGTTCTCTCAAGGGCAGTTCTCGGGAGAGCTCTCTCAGGCCCACCTACCTCACAGGGTGTCTGTTGTGGGGAGGGGAAGGGGGAGGGATTGTAAGCCGCTCTTGGGACTCCTTTGGGTAGTGAAGGGCGGGGTATAAATCCAACTCTTCATCACACAGTGGCCAACCAGTTCCTCTGGAGGGCCAACAACAGGGCAGAGAGGCCGAGGCCTTCCCTTTTTATGAACCTCAGAAGAGCCCTGCTGGATCAGACCAGTGAGGGTCCATCCACTCCAACATCCTGTCTCACACAGGGGCCAGCCAGTTCCTCTGGAGGGCCGACAACAGGGCAGAGAGGCTGAGGCCTTCCCCTGATAAGAACCTCAGAAGAGCCCTGCTGGGTCAGACCAGGGAGGGTCCATCTAGTCCAGCCTCCCCGTCTCACACAGGGGCCAGCCAGTTCCTCTGGGGGGCCAACAACAGGGCCTAGAAGCCGAGGCCTTCCCCTGAGGTTGCCTCCTGGCACTGGGATTCTCAGATTGACTGCCTTTGAATGTGGAGGTTCCCTTTCATTACCATGGCCAACAGCAACTGATAGACCTCTCCTCCATGAATCTGTCTAATCCCTCTTGCCTGTGGCCATCACTACGTCCTCTGGCCGGAAATCCCACATTTTAGTCACTCTCTGTGTAAGGTTGCATTTCCTTTCCTCCGCCCTGAACCTACTGCCCATCAGCTTCTTTGGATGCCCTCCAGTTCTAGTCTTTGGGGAGAGGGAGAATAAGTTCTCTTTGACCATTCTTTCCACCCTGTGCTTAATTTCATAGAAGAAGAAGAAGAAGAGAAGAAGAGATTGGATTTATCCTCCATGTCCCTTCACTACCCAAAGGTGTCTCAGAGCAGCTTACAAACTCCTTTCCCTTCCCCTCCCCACAACAAACACCCTGTGAGGTAGGTGGGGCCAAGAGAGCTCTTGACAGAAACTGTTCTTTTTCAAGAACAGCTGTGCCAGAACTATGGCTTGCCCAAGGTCATCCAGCAGGTGCAAGTGGAGGAGTGGGGAATCAAACCTGGTTCTCCCAGATTAGAGACCACACACTAAGCACTACACCAAACTGACCCCGATCACGTCCCTTCTTAAGTAATCTCTTTCCTAAAACACACCCAAGAGAAGAGCTGTCTGAGAGCGAATCCTCTCATTAACAACTCATTAAGCTGTGGAGTCTTGTTGTGAGCAAGAATCCTACTTTGTGAGCTACTGGCATTAAAGCTGTGAGCGAATGATTGGGCTGCCGCATAAATCAGTTTGTCATGGAGCCATTCCTTCCTGAGCTAAGGCAAAAAAGTGTGAGCCGGAGGCTGAAGAAGGTGTGGGCTAGCTCACATGGACTCAGCTTAGAGGGGACACTGGAGTCCACCCTCCAAAAGCATCCTTTTTCTCCGGGGGGGGAATGAGATCTGTAATTTGGAGATCAGCCGTAATACTGGGAGGACTCCAGGTGCCACCTGGGGGCTGGCAACGCCAGGTGCAGCGCCACTCTGTGATTCTCTGCATTCTGTAAAGAGAACCGATTCACCCTCTCCCACATTCTGGATAATTATTTTGTTTACATTCAGGTGAGTGGCCATCTTGGTCTGAAGAGGCAGAACCAAGTTTGAGTCCCGGGGCACCTTGAAGGCAGAAGTCTGATTAAGGGCCAATATTAAAGACCTGGTTGAAACTTATAATATACAAAAATGCTTGTTATTTATTAGGGCCCAAGGAAAGCCTCGTTAAAAAGTTAAAGATTGCCAGGGATTGAACCTGGGACCTCCTGCCTGCCAAGCAGAGGCTCTTCCACTGAGCCACAGCCCCTCTTTACAGCTCTCCAGGGTCTCAGGCGGAGGTCTTTCCCATCACCTCCTGCCTGGTCCTTTTAACTGGAGATGTTAGGGATTGAACCTGGGACCTCCTGCATGCCAGGCAGAAGCTCTTCCACTGAGCCACAGCCCCTCTTTACAGCTCTCCAGGGTCTCAGGCAGAGGCCTTTCACATCACCTCCTGCCTGGTCCTTTCTAACTGGAGATGCTGCCGGGGATTGAACCTGGGACCTTCTGCATGCCAAGCAGAAGCTCTGCCACTGAGCCACAGCCCCTCTTTACAGCTCTCCAGGGTCTCAGGCAGAGGTCTTTCCCATCACCTCCTGCCTGGTCCTTTCTAACTGGAGATGCTGCCGGGGATTGAACCTGGGACCTTCTGCGTGCCAAGCAGAGGCTCTTCCACTGAGCCACGGCCCCACTTCATGGCTCTCCAGGGTCTCAGGCTGAGGTCTTTCCCATCACCTGCTGCCTGGTCCTTTTTAACTGGAGATGCTGAGGATGCAACCGGGGACCTCCTGCACACAAAGCAGAGGCTCTTCCACTGGAAGCAGAGCCTTGCACAAAGATATCACGATGCAAAACAGAACAAAATGTCAGCCCGCCACTTCTGCCACCCCTCAGCTTCTCCTTTGGATGCACCTTTGATCAGCCTTTGCATAACCGGCCCCATCGCTCCACAGCTGGGACAGATCAAAATCAGCCAGCCAGGAGCTTGATAAACTGTTGACCTGGGTTGGGCCATCATTTCCCATTGTGGGGAAACACCCCCCTGCACACCACGAGGGGGGCCTGAGAGAAGTCCCTCTGGCCCGCCTGGCCTGCAGAGATGCTGGAGTGTGGGAACAGTGCGCCCCCTTGTGGCCTGCAGTGCCTGCAACTATCCATCCAACTTGCATTCAGTAAGGAGGCGAAAGAGGCAGGGAACCGGCTAGGAGAGGGAGGAGGAGGAGAAGGAAGAAGAGGAGGAAGAAGTGGAGGTGAAGCATAAGGAGGAGGAGGAGGAGGAGAAGAAGAGATTGGATTTATACCCCACCCTTCACTACCCAAAGGTGTCTCAGAGGGGCTTACAATCTCCTTTCCCTTCCCCTCCCCACAACAGACACCCCCTCTGAGGTAGGAGGGGCTGGCAGCAGCCTAAGGCAAACATGTGTGAGCCGGAGGCTAAAAAACTGTGAGCTGGCTCACACTCACTCAGCTTAGAGGGAGCACTGCAGCACACAGCAAGAAATCGCAAAGACCAACAGAAAACAACTGTGAGCTGAGTTACCCGCAAAAATATATACAAAAGGAGATTTCGACAAAGTGAAATGCACATGTAATCAAGAATGAATCTATACATATAGGCCGTCATAGGAAAATACAGAAGCCCACAGGATCCATGAAAGGAAAATACAAAGTCCAGAGTAGATATCCAACACTTTTCCTAGGTAGTATTCAGTGTTTCAGACTTCTGGTCCTTCCTCAGAAACAAAGAACAACTATAGGAACTCTCATTCCATTTCCTTATAGGCAGGGGTTTTTTGGTAGAAAAAGCCCAGCAGGAACTCATTAGCATAATAGGCCACACCCAGCAGCAGAAACTCATCAGCATATTAGGCCACACCCATGACAGCACAGCTCATTGGCATATTAGGCCACACCCCCATGTTACCAGAAGTGTGCTCATCCAGCCACACCCACCTTTTGCTTCTTATTCTATTTACCTCGTTTGTTGTCCAAACCCAGGGCTTTTTTGCATGTTAGGCCACACACCCCTAATGTAGCCAATCCTAATGAGTTTCTGCTGTTGGGTGTGGCCTACTATGCTAATGTGTTCCTGCTGCGCGTGGCCAACTCGGGAGCCAGCCGGAACTCTGTTCCTGTGCGTTCCTGCCCCAAAATAGCCCTGCTTATAGTACAATACTATTCACTTTTTTATGGGCAAGGTCTCCTAAGCTTTAGTGAGCACCTCTCAAGGCTGCTCCCGGCAAGGCGGGCCGGGCCTTCTCCTGCCACATCCGCCCACTGGTCTCCTACGATGAATGCAAACCATTCCGGGCACATAGCAGGAGCCCTTTCTTCCGTGCCGCCCACTCACACACGGTTGAGCACAACAGAGGTTTTATCTATTTACAAACCGACTTGCTGCCTTCCTTCCTTCCAGAGCTCACGGGGGCTGACAAAAATCGATAAAACACGTATAAAATGAAATATATTAAAAACATAAGAGATGAAGGGGAGAGAGAAGAGATTGGATTTATACCCCACCCTTCACTCAGGAGTCTCAGAGCGGCTTACAATCTCCTTCTCCTCCCCCTCCCCACAACAGACACCCTGTGAGGTCGGAGGGGCTGAGGGAGCTCTTTCGAGGACTGCTCTTGAGAGAACAGCTCTGAGAGAACTTGTGACCGACCCAAGGTCACCCAGCTGGCTGCATGTGGAGGAATGGGGAATCATACCCGGTTCTCCCAGATTAGAGTTCGCGCACTTAACCACTACACGAAACCACAACACCAAAAGACCCCCAAAATTTAAAATCACAAACTCAAGACTGCTAGCAAACCAAATCAAACGTAGACCTAAATAAAACCGTCTTCCGCTGCCTCCTAAAGATGGAGAGCGAGGGGGCCAGGCGCACTTCTCTGGGGAAGCCGCTCCATAGTCATGGGGCTGCCATCGAAAAGGCCCTCCCTTGTGTACCCAACCAGATGAGCATCTTTGCTTGATGGGGCAGTCAGAAGAAGAAGAGGAAAAGATCGGATTTATACACCCTGCCCTTCACTTGGCATCTCAGAGCGGCTGACAAACTCCTTTCCCTTCCCCTCCCCACGACAGACACCCTGTGAGGCGGGTGGGGCTGAGAGAGCTCTCTCTCTTTCGAGGTTTGCTCCTGAGAGAACAGCCCTGAGAGGACTTGTCACCGACCCAAGGTCACACCAGCAGCTGCATGTGGAGGAGCGGGGAATCAAACCCGGTTCTCCCATATTCTCCCACGGAGGTTTGGCCTCCGCTTTGCCAGTCGGTCTCATGGAGACTCACCTGAGGAACTCCAGGTCGTCCCAGCCGTTGTGGATCAGGCCCTCCTCGTATCTCTCCATGCCGATGGCCCGCAACCACTCCCCCACGCTGGACTCACTCTGCCTGGAGCTGCTGCGTCCGTCCTGGCCCAGGGCCTGGGGAGGAGGGAGGAGGAGGAGGAGGGCGTCAGACACAAGAGCTCAGGGGTGCCGCCAAGCAACCCTCTCTACTCCTTCTTACGCTGTTACGAAGGCCCCAGCCTCTCTGCCCTGTTGTTGGCCCCCAGAGGAACTGGCTGGCCCCTGTGTGAGACGGGAGGCTGGACTGGATGGACCCTCCCTGGTCTGACCCAGCAGGGCTCTTCTGAGGTTCCTATCAGGGGAAGGCCTCGGCCTCTCTGCCCTGTCGTTGGCCCTCCAGAAGAACCGGCTGGCCACTGTGTGAGACAGGATTAGCTTTGGAGATTTGACGAGATCGGGCTCACCTGGGCCAGGGCCCTTCCCTCGTAGAGTGGCCCAATACATCCTCCCCACCCCCTCTTGGTACCAGCCTTTTTTAAAAAGCAGGCCATTCTGACCACTGATATCCAATGCTCCCTCTAAGCTGTGGAGTCTTGTGAGCAAAACATTCTCCTTTGTGAGCGACTGGCATGGAAGCGGTGAGCGAGCCATTGGGCTGCTGCATGAATTAGTTTCCTCTGGAGCCCGTCCTTCCTGAGCAAAGGCAAAGGAATTCTCGACATTGAAAGGCAAGAACTTCGGGAACGCGCAGCCAGCAGATGTTCCCCAAGTAGGCTGGGGACTTTTGACACGGGCTCTACTGCGAAGTATCTGTCAAGTTTAACAGCCCCACATCATCGCAGAACATACATGCTTGCATGCTTTCATGTTGTGCCGTCGGAGGTGCTTTTAGTGAGGTACCGCCAGATACCCTATGCAGACAGACTTTGTCCCTGCTCTCTAAAAGATACAGAATCCACGACACACACCAGACTTCATTGCCCCCTCTACAGGGATATCCGATCTCGTTTTATTACTCCACTTCTAGAGGGCGAGAGCTGGCACTCTGATGACTCAACTGTTCACTTTCTTCCTGGGCCAGGGCCCTTCCCTCGTAGAGTGGCCCAATACATCCTCCCCACCCCCTCTTGGTACCAGCCTTTTTTAAAAAGCAGGCCATTCTGACCACTGATATCCAATGCTCCCTCTAAGCTGTGGAGTCTTGTGAGCAAAACATTCTCCTTTGTGAGCGACTGGCATGGAAGCGGTGAGCGAGCCATTGGGCTGCTGCATGAATTAGTTTCCTCCGGAGCCCGTCCTTCCTGAGCGAAGGCAAAAGAATTCTCGACATCGAAAGGCAAGAACGTCGGGAACGCGCAGCCAGCAGATGTTCCCCAAGTAGGCTGGGAACTTTTGACACGGGCTGTACTGCAAAGTATCCGTCCAATTTAATAGCCCCACATCATCGCAGAGCATACCTACTTGCATGCTTTAATGTTGTGCCATTGGAGGTACCGCCAGACACCCTATGCAGACAGACTTTGTCCCTGCTCTCTAAAAGATACAGAATCCACGACACACACCAGACTTCATTGCCCCCTCTACAGGGATATCCGATCTCTTTTTATTACTCCACTTCTAGAGGGCGAGAGCTGGCACTCTGATGACTCAGCTGTTCACTTTCTTCTGTTTACTTCTAATTGTGAAACAATGGAGGCTGGCGCAAAATTTTTATATTATGCAATCAGAAGACGAGGCTCGAATAGCCAAGTGTGAGCGACTGATGCCTCTTAGTATTTTGCCGTATTTCCATGATGTCTTGTGCTTTCGGTGCCAATAAAGGTTTTTTGTGTGTGAGCTTGTCATGATCTGGGCTGTACCACCAGAGGGCCTACGAGGCCCAGGGAGCCTGGCTAGCAGTAGGTGAGGCTGGGCCTACAACTCCCAGAAGCCCCTGAGAGGTTTTGGAGCCAAAATGGACCAATAGGGAGGAAGAGGGCTGGGGAACAAAAGGGCTGGTGTCAGAGTAGAAGCGGTTCTTTTCTTCCAGAGGGCAGAGCCAGAAGGAAGGCTGCTGCAGGGGAGAGACCCTCATCCTGAGGGAAGGGTGAATAGTCTAAGGCC